TTTGGTGCTCAGCTTTCTTTATAATCCAACTCTCACATCCATACACGATCACTGGAAAAACCATAGCCTTGACTAGACAGACCTTTGTTGGTAAAGTAATGTCTCTGCTTTTTAATATGCTATCTAGGTAGTGACAACCAAAAATGTCTCCACACTGTCCATTGTCCTCCAGGGGACCAAGATCATCCCCGAGTGGGAACCACTAGAGCAATGTCAGCCTCTGAACAAGGTCCAGGGGTCTTGACCACTCCAGCCCCAGTGACCATCACTTCACTCTACTTCCTGCCTCTCCTGGGGCAGCCACCTACCTTCTCCACCTCCCAGGGCCATCCAGGAACCAGGTAGAAGCAAGAGGACTGAATCCATCCAGACTGACTCAGGCCCAAGCTTCCATCAGCCAGGTTGCTTCCCTCAGAGCACTTTCCTTAACCTGTAACTGAACTGTTATTTATTCATGTTTCTTTCCTGTGTCCACTGTCTTTTCTGCCTCCCTCACTAGGACAAAAAATCTGTGAAAACAGGAACTTTATTTTCTTCACTGCTCTATCCCTTACACTAGCAGAGGGCCTGGAACAGGAAACAGAGATGGAAGGAGAGAGGAGTGGGAAGGAGAAAAGAAAGGAATAAAAAAGAAGGAAATTTTTTTCAGAAGAAAGAGGAGAATGCTGCAGAAAGGGGGAGGTATTTATCAGATAAAGCAACAAGGGTCAAACATAACATCTGTGCCTTGATATAATCTGTAGCCAATAAAAGAGATAACGTATCTCTGTTTTCACTGACATGGACATATCCCTAATAAAACTGACTGCTTATAGACCCATTTGTGTATGTATGTGCAAAGAAATATCTGAAAAGAAATGTTCACCAAAAAGTTGAAGATTTTTGTCTCAGAGTGGGTATATTCCAGGAGAAATTTTACTTTCTTTTTTTTTTTAGTTCTACCACTTAACTGCTACCAACCCATCTCCCTCCACCCTCGTGCACACATGCTCAGTCATGTAACCCCATGGACTGCAGCCCACCAGGCTCCTCTGTCCATGGACTTTTCCAGGCAAGAATACTGGAGTGGGTTGCCATTTCCTTCTCCATACTTTCTCTCTCACTTCAATTTCCTACAATAAGAATTATCTTTCCAAGCTGAACGTTTTAGAAGTCATGTTTTCAAAAGATATTTTTAACAGAGACTTCTGTGGTGGTCCAGTGGTTAAGAATCCTCCTTGAAATGCAGGGTACTCAGGTTCAATCCCTAGTTGCGGAACTAAAATCCCACATGCCGAGGAGCAACTAAGCCTTCTTGCCAAAACTACTGAAGCCTGTGCCGCCACTAGAGTAATTCCATGCCAGCCAGGAAAGATTCCACACGATGCAAGAAAGATCCCCCAAGAACTGATGCAGCCAAAGTAATTAATTAATTAACTTTTTAAAAAGAATGTATATTTCAATGGGTGACATATGACAAAATGTTAAGGTGAGTGAGCTATACAAAGAATTTGCTACCATACATATACATGTATGTGTGTGTGTGTGTGTGTGTGTGTGTATATAAAATAGCCCAATTAAAACAACTTTTTAAATTTCATATGGAAATATTAGAAAAAAGATCAAGAGACAATCCACCACATTTCATTATCCTTTCTCTTTTATGCGTGTCTTTATTTTAAAATTCTCTAGAGCAGCACTGTCCAATATGGTAGTGAACAGCTACTGACACTTGAAATGTGTCATGTGTGATATGACTTAGGACCTGAATTTTTTAATTGATTAATTGAAATTGAAATTGAAATAGTCTCAAGTGTCCAGTGGCTACTGTTATTTGTGAGTAGAGCTCTAGTGGGAACAAATTTTTTTATACTTAGAAAAAGAGCACAAGATGTGATTTTTTAAATTAATATACATGAAAACTCAGAGCAGAAAACCCAAATGCTGCCCCAGCATCTGGCCCAGTTCCAGCCCAGGGCTGCATTCTTTATCTGTTTATTATAAGATCTGAATGCCCCATCCAAACTGTCTTGGCAGATGTATCATTTTTCCCACCTTTTTAAAAAATAAAAAATGATTTCTTCATCTCTTATTCAGTTTTTGAAAGTGAGGCAAGTCAATGAACTCACACATATTCCAGAAACTGACTTCCTTAGACCCTAACAGAAGGTACTTAAGTGCACAGATGTTTGCTGGCTTTAAAAGGAGGCCTTGCTGTGTATGTAAAAAACATTCCCCCTAATTTTTTGCTCAATTTGTTTTAAGTTGGTAATGAAATCTGTGAATCTGTGCTCCCTTTCTTCAGGAAAAATGGAATTTTGATCTCTTTTAAAAATCAGAACGCAACAGGATAATGGAGAAATCAGTCTCAATAGCACATTTCATGTTCATTTCAGGGCTGTGATGTAAACATGATGATGCTACGCTTTTGGGGTCTTTGAGATTTTTGCCACAAACATAGTAGCTCAGGTGGATTACTGCCTAAAGCTCGCTTCCTTGGTTGATTTTTGCCAACGAATGGCATGTCTGCTTGTTTGAAATAAACTCATGAAACTGTTAAGGCCTCTGCACAAAGACTGTTCCATTCTGTTGGCCTTCAGGGAGGAGACTTTGCTCTAAGTATCTCTTCTCTCCGAGAGCAAAGAGCTGAAGGAGAGACAGATAGCCCACATTGATTGCACTCTTACTACACGCCAACTGGTCACACCCATAAGAGGTCTGACCATCTCCCGGTAGTCCAGGGACCCTGGGAAAGAACAGAGGTGGGTGGCCTCTGGTTTCACAAAGTCAAAAGCAATAACACATTGAACATGCATTTTATTCACTACCTTATTGGACATACTCCGTAGATTCTGCATTCGACAACACAGAACGAGCTAATGAAAACAGTTCCCCCAAATCTCATCACCCAAGGACAAAAGCCACCCAGTTTTGGAGGGCACTCCACGTCTCTGTCTTTTCCAGGGACCCTTGACTGGGATCCTGGGGACACTTGGCAATGTCTGGAGGGAAACTGGATGTCACAGCTGGGAGGGGGTGCCAGTGGCCTTTAGTGGACAAAAGCCAGAAGTGCTGTTTGATGTAAATGCAATAACATCCTACAGCTGGCAGAGGACAGCTCCCACCCACAAAGAATGATCCAGCCCGAGTGTTAGAAACGTCCAGGCTGAGAAACCCAACCATATATATACAGATGTGAGTACATAATCAAGCTCATTCTACACTATCTGTTGATCAGACTGCAGAAACACATGTATTGCTTATCCGATTGGGTCAAGCACTGCTTGCTCCCTACAGGGGGCTTCATTTAATTTTTACTGATACCAGAATTCTATAAGAGGGGGAAATATAACAGATTTTTTTTAGCTAAAGAGACTTAGGCTTAGAGCAGTGAACAGTCTGGTCTAAGGTCGCACAGTCATCAGTCATGGTGCTAAGCCTGAAGTCCAGGTCTGAGGGATTCCAAACCCCACCTTTCCCAACATCTGTTGATCTGCCCCCTCAGCCCAAGACTAAGTTTACAAAGGGCAGTTCAGATCCTGGGAGGAAGACCCTTGAATCACCCTTCCAGAACCTGAGGGAGACAGGGCTTTGGTTTTCATGTACATCATTCAAGTGATTCTGTTACTTAAATTCTCTCTTTAGTCTAATTTATATTTGTGTCAATATGGTCTGTCAAGAATTAAAAGCATACTTTCAAGTTTTTCACTAATTACTTTTCTGTGGATTTCTCATTGCATGTGCAATTTCTTCTATGTATATTTGTAAGTTACATTATATTCACAATTACTACATCAAGGTAGTAGATTAAATGACAGTGGTTTGTTAACTGATCTTAGTCTCATTAAATAATATCTACTTTGAATTTCCCTTCCTCTGACAGCAGCTTTGTGATCCCTGCCTTCTTTCTGTTTGCGTTTGGCTCGTGTATCTGCCTTAATAATTTTATTTTAGGGGGTGTCCTAATTGAAAAGTCATTTTGTTTTAGAAGGTGTTTTTTTTTTTTTAATGTATATATACTTTCATAACAGATATCTTTGGTCTCAATTCCATTTTCTTGTATTATATTTTATATGTTTCTATTTCTTATTTTCTCATTTTTCCTACCTTGCTAATTTGGTAAAGAGAATGTCTTTTAGTTTGATACGGTATGAATGTTTGTGTTTCCCCAAGATGCACAGGTTGAAATTCTAATGCCCAAAGTAATAGTATTAGGAGGTGGGGCCTTTGGGAGGTGCTTATGCCCTGAGGGTGGAGCTTCCATGGTGGGAACAGCACTTTTATAAAAGAGACCCCAGAGATCTCACTCACCTCTTCCACCTCACTGAGGACACAATGAGAAGAAAGCAGCCTGTGACCCAGAGAGGGCATCACCAGAATCCCTGCTGTCACCCTTGTCCTGAACTTCCAGCCTCCAGAACTGTGAGAAATAGTTTCACAGTCACTCAGTCTGTGGTATTGTATTTTGTTATAGCAGTCAAAGCAGATGTTTAAAAATAAATAAGACATTTATTTTTATAATTTTTCCTACCTTCTGCAAATTTTGTTAACAAAATATTTTCAGTTCTGGTGATTATTTTCATATCTTTAAATAACATGCTTTCATTTACATCTCTGAAGTTATCAAATTCATAAATTAAAAAGTAGCAGTTGACTCCTCTTGGCGAAAATCAGTTTCCTTATACTTCCTCACTCTCTCCTCACCCCTGTCCTCTGGTTTCCAATGGTATACTGTGATAAAATTATAAGATCATTTTGTTATGTATATTTTTAAGAATTAAAATAGCTGCATTCTGTTTTATAATTTTCATGGTTATTTAATTTTAATTTTACGTATAAATTGTTATGGAGCACACCACCATACAACTTATATGCATGGGTGCTCAGTCATGTCTAACTCTTTGAAACCCCATGGACTGTAGCCCACCAGGCTTCTCTGTCCATGTAACTTTCCAGGCAAGAATACTGGAGTGGGTTTCCATTTCCACCTCCAAGAGATCTTCCTAATTTATGGATTAAACCCACATCTCTGGCATCTCCTGCATTGACAGGTGGATTCTTTATCACTAGCACCACCTGGGAACCCACCATACAACTTTCCTTTCCACAATGTTAGGTACTTTCCTCATGAGTTGTTTTTATTCATGTCTTAGTTGACTGAAGCACATCTTCAGGTATCTCCTTGCCACTCCCTTTCCCACAAGAAGAATATATGAAATACTTAGTGAATCCTTGCCTGTTGGAGTCACATATCAACTTTGGGCATGAAATTTTGGATCTCATTCTTTTTCCTTTGATTGTCTTCATTGTTTCATTTTATTCTAGAATCTAATGCCAGAGTTGAAAAGCTAGAGCCATTTGATTTTTATTTCCTTTGAGGACAACCTGTTTTTTCTGCCTGAATTTTCATCAGAGTTATTCCTTATCTGTGAAATATAGTGGCTTCATCAGAGCATCTGTCTCACTATTAGTTTTTTGTATCCCCATTAAATTCACTTGATAACCCCATTTGACTATCTCTCTTCACTTTGGGGATGTTTTCTTCTAGTTCCTCTTTGAATATTGTTTCTGTTACACTTGTTCTCTTTCTTACTATCCTAGAACACAAATTATCCCTACAGAAGTTCCAGATTTTCTTCTGCTCCAGATCTCAGTGTATCAGTCAGCTCTGGTCAAGAGAAAAAAAAAAACAGTTATTTTAATAGAAATAACTTAATGTGAATAACTGTCATCTGGGCATAAATGTGGTAACTAGGTACTGAAAAGGCAAAAAGAGAACACTAAGATATTCTAGAAGTAGCAACACCAGGGAGCAGCTGCCATCATGAGGACTGGAGAAACAAGGGACAAAGTTGATACCAATAAAACTTAGAAGCTTGGAGGAAGGGCTCCAGAAAGCTGAAAAGCAGACTTCTAAAGAGCAGGCACTGCTTGTCTATACTTGATGCTGGGACAAGATCCAATAGTTCCTGCACTTTAAGCCAAGTGTAACATTCCCTGCAAAAGCCTGGAACAGTGACAGGTCCTATGCAGAGATACTTCTAGGCCAGCGGTTCCCAGCCTTGGCTTTACATTGTAATCTGCTGGGAAATATTAAAAAGTACTGGTGAATGGATACCCTCCCTTGAGAGTTTGAGTTAAGTGGTCTGGAGTGAGGCTTGAATTGTGAGTTTTAAAAGCTCCCCAGGTGATTCTAAGTGTAGGAAAGGTTGAGGGCCACTGGCCTAGAAGTATCTCTGCATCGCACTTGTTGCCACCCCAAGAAGGCAGTCTCTGCCTGAGGCTGCATTCACAGCTCTGGTTTTTTAGTATCATGAGAGTCACCTAAGAAAGCTGTTCTTAAACTGGTGATACCCTTCCCTTCCCCCTGAAAGGCCCTGATTGAATTCATTTGAGTTGGGGGTGGGTCAACTTTGGAATTTTTAAATCCCAAGGAGTCGTAGTGTGCATCCAGGGTTTAGGGAGAGGAAAGACCCATAATGCATATTTCTCCTATTAAGGAGTTCTGATGAAGAGGTGCCAGACGTCATAGGGAAGCAAAAACGTCTTACATTATGTCAACATTGGGCTTCCCAGGTGGCTTAGTGGCGGGTTCAATCCCTACGTAAGGAAGAGCCCCCAGAGAAGGAAATGGCAACCTACTCTAGTATTTTTGCCTGGGAAATCCCATGGACAGAGGAGCCTGGCAGGCTACAGATCATGGGGTCACAAAAAATTGGACATGACTTAGCGACTAAACCATCACCACAATGTCAGCATTAGAATACAAGGCTGGTGAGAGAAGCCTGACAAGTTAGATGACTTTAATAGGGGGCCTCTTCCCAATGTTGGGATAGAAATAAACTCGGAGGGCCACATACATACCCATCCATTGGTTGTTCAGTGGAGAAGACAGGATTAGGAGAAAGTTATGAATATGAATTGACAAGGTAAGTTTCGTTTTCCTTTAAAGAACTGCAAGTTCGCTTTGGGTGTCACGACCCTAGGGCAGTGGTTCCTGGACCAGCAGCATCAGCGTTGCCTAGTATCATTAGAAATGCACATTCTTTGGCCCCACCCCAGACCTGCTGAATCAGAAACTCTGGGCATGGAGCCCAGCTATCTGTTCTGATAAGTCTTCCAGCAGATTCTCGTGCACACTCAGATCTGAGGTGCATTTCCCTATGCCTCAGATGGTAAAGAATCTGCCTGCAATGCGGGAGACCTGGGTTCGATCCCTGGGTTGGGAAGATCCCCTGGAGAAAGGCATGACAACCTATTCCAGTAGAATTCCATGGACAGAGGAACCTGGCGGGCTCCAGTTCACGGGGTCGCAAAGAGTCGGACACGAATGAGTGATTTTCACTTTCACTCCCAAAGCACTAACATCTGGAAAGTCACACCAGAAAAAAACAAAACACTAAAAGGCTGTGTCCCCCTCTGTCCCAGGAACCCCTTCAGTGGATGACTGCAGAAAGTAGCCTTTATCCTCCTTCTGGTAGACCAACTGCATCACCATAGCAACATGGATGCTCCTGGTGGGTCTCAGACATTTACCCCAAGAACATCTTTTCCTAATAAACTGAAGAATTTGTATGTAAAATTAGACTCCTGTGTCCTTTGTCCCTTCCGCCTGCCTGTGACAACTTGTATCATCTCTTTGCCATTTCCTTTCACATACTGAGAATTTATTTTTGTCTAATCCTGCTTTATCCTTTCAAATCAGTGCAAAGTCCTTCCAGATTTTGACAACTGATCATCTGATGGCCCTAGCTTTTATATACTTTTGTAATTTTGTTCCCTTAGCAATACTTTCATTAATGCCTCTGTTGCATTCTCTTTTTATACATCAAACCACTGACACTAATTGAGCTCAGGATAAACTAAAGCCCCTGATTTATTTCCCACAAGTGATGCTGAGTCACCTCATCTTCATCTTGCACCTTAGCTGTCAGTATTTTGGAACCAGGTGGCTCAGCAGTAAAGAATTCACTTGGAATGCAGGAGACTGCCTGCAATGTAGGAGATGTGGGTTTGATCCCTGGGTCAGGAAGATCCCCTGGAGACAGAAATGGCATGCCACTCCAGTATTCCTGCCTGGGAAATCCCAAAGACAGAAGAGCCTGGTGGGATACAGTCCAGGGAGTCGCAAGAGTCAGACACAACTTAACGACTCAGTTCAGTTCAGTTCAGTCGCTCAGTCATGTCTGACTCTTTGCAACCCCATGAATCATAGTACATTAGGCCTCCCTGTCCATCACCAACTCCCAGAGTTCACTCAAACTCATGTCCATCGAGTCGGTGATACCATCCAGCCATCTCATCTTCTGTTGTCCCCCTTCTCCTCCTGCCCCCAATACCTCCCAGCATCAGGGGCCAATGAGTCAACTCTTCGCATGAGGTGGCCAAAGTATTGGGAGTTTCAACTTCAACATCAGTCCTTCCAATGAACACCCAGGACTGATCTCCTTTAGGATGGACTGGTTGGATCTCCTTGCAGTCCAAGGGACTCTCAAGAGTCTTCTCCAACACCACAATTCAAAAGCATCAATTCTTCGGCGCTCAGCTTTCTTCATAGTCCAACTCTCACATCCATACATGACCACTGGAAAAACCATAGCCTTGACTAGAAGGACTAAACCATCACAATACAATCTCATAACATCTCATGAGGTCTTAGTACATCACTGTTTCTTGGTAGTGTGTTACTTGGCCCAGGTAGCAAACTTTGCTCATGCTGGGGTGACCAACTGTCCTGGTTTTCCTGGGACTCAGGGCTTCCCCAGGAGGTAGGACATTCAGGACTAAACCCAGGACAGCCCCCAGAAGCAGCTTTTAATCAGTAGAAATGGGATATTGTGGGGAAAGCTAGCAACCTTGTGCTGTGGTGGGTGTGATAGGCAGCTGAGATGGCCCCAGACGGCACCACTTCCTGGTATTCGTGTCCTTGTGTGATGCCCTCCCCTGGAGAGTGGGTTGAATTTAGGGACTCGATCCTAATGTAGTACATGAGCTGGGATATCACTTCTGAGTTAGATAACAAAATGACTGAGACTTCCAACTTGCTGGCTTTCTCTCTCACTTTTTCCCTTGCTGGCTTTGAGAGAGGCCAGCTGCCTTGTTGAGAGGTGCCCTACACACAGGTGGTCTTCATGGCAAGGAACTTGAGTCTTTAAACAATTGTTATGGACTTCCCAGGGACGAGAGACTTCCAGGGACACAGAACTTCCAGCACTAAAACCAGGAAAATCCCAAGCAAACTGGGATGAGTTGGTCATTGCAGTTTAGATGACAATTTTTGCAAAACAACTGCTTGGAAGTGGCTGTATAGTACAGGGAGCTCAGCTCAGAGCTCTGTGATGACGTAGAGGGGTGGGATGGCATGGGGTGGGAGGGAGGTTCAAGAGAGAGGGGATATATGTATACACATAGCTGGTTCACACTGTTGAACAGAAGAAACTACCACAACATTGTTAAGCAATTAAACACCATAAAAAATAATGTCAATATACGACAATGAAAAAATTTTAAAAACTGCTTAGAAACCAAGGAAAACAGCTAAACTTTTGCTCAAGAAGACTCTTGCCTGTTCTGCTCCTGCACGTTCCTCTAGTACTTTCTTCCTCAATCAGCTAGTCATTAAGAGCCACTGTTAATTAACGCTATATTGTAGCCCAGAACTAATTGCAATAAATATTTTATTAATTTTCGAACAAAAGGTTGCCTTCAATTAACCGAGTGTGAAAAATTTGATTACTGTGGTTTGCACATAAGCCCACAGTTACCATCGCCAATTAGCAAGCTCGTGCCCCAAAAGCCCTCATTAGTGCATGTATTTATGACATATAAACAAAAATTAAAAGTTATGGTGCTGTGGCATCGTTTTTCTAAATTCTGCCAAGGGCAGGGAAGGAAACACAGTACTATTTATGTCAGGATATAAAAGCAATTGTTACACATTACGATGTAAAACCCAACCATATTTTCAAAGTGTTTGCCAAGTGTGGCATCTCCCATAGGAGGGATACTTTGCGTGGAAATGCTACCCTGTCTTACAAGTAGTTGGTCCATAATAAATGTTTGTTGACCAAAGTGGCTGAATATTAGAGCTATAAAGGTTCTGGGAACAAATTCTGCATGACCCTGAGGCTCGGAAAAGTTAAGTGACTTTGCCAGGGTAACACAGCTGCAAACGACAGCTAGGACCAGCGCCTGATACTATATTGAGCCTCAATACTATTTTGAGAAACAGGATTTCTCAATCTTTGAACTACTGCCGTTTGGGACTGGATAATCCTGTTGCGGGGGACTCTTTTGTTCATTGTAAGGTGTTCAGCATCTCTGGTTCTCTACCAACTACATGTCAAGAGCAGCCTCTCACACAATCAAAACAATCAAAAATATCTCCAGAGGGACTTCCCTGGTGGTCCAGTGGTTAGGACTTCATGCTTCCAATACAAGGGACTTGATCCCTGGTCAGGAAGCTAAAATCCCACATAGTGCACAGCATAGCCAAAAAATAAAAGCAAGCAATATGACACTAAGAAAAATAAAATAATTTTAAAAATATCTCCAGACATTGCCAAATGTCCCCTGGTGGGAGTGAGGATGGGGGAAAAGGAAGACAGAATGGTCTTCAATTGAGAATCACTGTAAATATGGAGAAGGTAATGGCACCCCACTCCAGTA